AAAGAGCCTCCAGCACATGTTCAGTCTTTTAAGCATTATTGTCCTTCATTGGCAGCAACAGTATTCATGTTCTACACACAGAGACTGTATTACACTTATTGTTTTTTCAGTTTCTATTTTAATTATGCAATAATGCCTTTCAACTGTCAGCATACCTAGTTGTCCGGCAGACTGCAGGAACTTCTTCAGTGTTTTCAGCAATCTACCACAGTATAAATATCTGGACAGAACAACTGTGAGGCAGTTAGGAGAGCTCCTTCACCTGTCTTGGGTCATGGGTTCAAGTCCAGGGGCACACGCTGTACGATGTCACCACTGTTTTTTTACCATAAGAAGTGTGGTTAATTCAGCTCCTGAGTAAAAGTTTCATTCTCACAACCCACTGGAGGTGCGGCAACAGAGCTCCATAACAGACCCTCCACTAAGACTAGTTTTGAGCCAGTAAAATCAGCAGGATGCAGTTTATCACACTAGTGTGGATTGAGCCTCTGTCTTCTCTCAGTGTGCAATCTTTGTACTTGTGTGTTTGAGGCATGGAGTAGCCGTGTGCTCTGACTATAGAAAATGTAGAACAAGCTGAGACTGATTATGACTATGGGTGAATCTTTCAGATCTGGTTCCATTCTGTCTTAAGTCTGCTGAACAAATGAAACAGACACGTCAGTGTGGTCTGTACAATTAAAGACACTACAGGAGGGCAGAATAAGAAGGTGCTGCACTTACAGCAGAAGTGCCAGCAGAGGCCGCCAAAGCACCCCTTCTTGTTGTAAAGAGACACACTGGGAGATAATCTTTTACTTAACTAGAGTATTCATTGACGTTTTTAGTGCAGTGTGCCATATGTTTTTATTCAGGGTTTTGATGTGTATATGAAGGGCTTGCTCAGGCGTAGAGGTGTTTGGGATTCAATAGAGTGCTCTTTTTCTTTGATCAAACACACACAAAGGCTGCTGCAAAGCCTTCTGCAGTTGCTTCAGCTGTCACCATGGAGGTTTCATGTGTGCAGATTCAAGGGATACCTAACCTAGGGAAGAGCCTGTCACAGGCTTCTCTCTCATGGTCTAAGAATATAAATCTTGTCCTTATCCACAGATAGCAGGGGAAGAGTCCGACTGGTCGATGGACCCAATAACTGCTCTGGGAGAGTGGAGGTCTACCACCGCGGTCAGTGGGGGACAGTGTGTGATGATGACTGGGACCAGTCTGATGCTCAGGTTGTCTGCAGGGAGGTGGGCTGTGGGGAGGCTGGAGCTCCTGTAGCTTTAAGAAGTACGAGGTTTGGAGCAGGAAGTGGCCCCATTCTTCTGGATGATGTCCGCTGTAGAGGGAATGAGCCCACACTGCTGAACTGTACATCAAGGGGTCTAGGAAACCACGACTGTCGTCATATTGAAGCTGCAGGAGTCGACTGTTCAGGTAGAGTAATTTTAGACTGCTCCTTCAAGTGTATATATTTTTTACAGTCAGGAACTGTACACAAATGCTAACCTCAATGTTAAACGATGAGATGATAGGAGCTCCCTTAATACTATATTAATCAGGACATTGTTTTCAGACTGCTCTCTCAGTCAGTCAAGTGTGTTTATATTGTTTCCATACTGGAAATGTAAACAGAAGTTCACTTCCCTGTTAACAAATGCGATAACTCATTTTTTCCCATTCCGTTTATTCCCATTCATACTCCATTCAGCTGGACATAAGTACAAGTCTATCTACAGCGAAGGCCTCGTACGAGTCTGATTCACTCACAGTCTTGTGTCCCAGTGTGACATGAAGTCACTGAATATGGTGTAGAAAGAAATTCATGTCAAGACTGGGCAGCAGCTTGCCCATCAGTTGTGAGTTGTCTGCTGGTGTCATGAATGTAGTTTATGGTTCACAAGTCATAGTTCATAGATCCTACTAGAGGACACCTGTGGCTCTGTGCTGCTCATTATTTCTAAAGAAACTCCAGACGTGTCTTCAGCCCTCTGGAGAGTTTCGAACACACCGTGGTCTACAACAGGGCTGCTGATCCTTTGACCCGTTGGTGATCTCTTTCATGTATGAGAAGATTCTCTCTGTCCTTCTGTACAGACAGCAGTAGAGCCTGACTGGTCAGTATCAGTGATCAGATCAGCTTCATGTACCTGAAAACACACAATTCACCAATCAGGGAGCCAACAGATTAGTCTTGTATTGGAATTTCCTGAGATCTCCTGTGTTCAGCTCCAGAGTCATCTGTCAGACTATTTCTTGTTGAGACACAGCAGACCAGCAGTTTACCTGAACTCACCTGTCCTCTGGGATTAACAGTGTTATTGTATTGCAGGTGCAGCAGGCACAGTTCTGGGGAAGGACTTTGTTCTCTCCCTTCTGTATATGAAAAGACATTTTCTATATCTGCTTGTCATGACATTTTTCTACCTTGTTTCAAGTCAGTTTGAGAATCAGCAAGATCCATGTTAGAAAGTAGAGAATAACGACTCTCACAGCACAGCAGCTTGAGCAG